TACCCGAGGATATTTTTCCATTGATCTTTAGGGAGAGTGGAAGAGAAAGGGAAAAACAGAGAGAAACATCGATGTGAAAGAAACACATCGACTGGCTGCCTCCTGCACACGCCCCAACCAGGGCCCAGACCAGAGTGGAGCCTGCAACCAAGATATGTGCCCTTGACTGGAATTGAACCCAGAACCCTTTGATTTACAGGTTGATGCTCTATCCACTGAGCCAACCTGGCTAGGGCCCAACATCCATTTCTTATGATTGAATAAAAACACAGGAATCACAGCCTAGATTTGCATATTACACTACAATTTACACAATGTGTTCCCTTGCAACATTTCCCATGATCCTTACTTGTCTCTGGTTCTGGTTGTCAATGGGAACAGGAACCGTTTGTTGTCTGTCCTGTGCCAGTGGTGGTGACTCCAGCAACGACGCTCCTTTGTGGGGCAGAAATATTCCTCATGCTGCCTGACGACCTGTCAGGAGTATCTTCTTATGAAGCAGATGCTGCAAACCAGTATTTTCATGTATACTAACTGGTAGCAAAGTGAAATGCAAGTGCGCGCCATAGCAATTCATTCCGTTTCCCTGAACTTAATCATGACACTGCATTCCTGACCCCAGGAGTTTTAGATAATTCTATTGAAGAAGGTGAAGAATAGGCAGGGGGAAAAAGAACTATGGGGTTTTTAGAATCAGTTATTGTCCGAGTGAAAGGTTTGAAAAAGAATGCATTTATTAGAAGTATTGGGGGTCGGGAGGGGGGATGTTTTTCACACCTGTTTTCACACCTCTGAGGTGATAAGTCCAGCCCTTACCAAGTAGAATGGCAAGTTTCACACTGAACCCACCCAAGTATATTCCTACAGTCTCCGAACTGATTTATTCTACGAGAAAGGCAATGAGACCTCTCGCACCAACCAGTGGCCGAGAGAGGTCTCTGCCATCTTTGCCCTCCCATCTTCCAGATGTGGATGCCATCTTCTGCATCTCATATATGAATCTCCAGGGCGATGTACCAGGTCTCTCATGACATTGGTTCTAGATCTACAATCTTCTTCTTTGTCTTCTTTTTTTGAATTGATTTTAGAGAGGGAGGAAGGAAGGGAGAGGGAAAACATTGATGTGGGAGAGACACATCCATCGATTGTGTCCTACACACAGCCTGACCGAAATTGAACCTGTAACCTCGGTAAGTGCCCTGACTGGGAATCAAACCTGTGGCCCATGGGGGAAAATGCTCCAACCAACTGAGCCACAACTAGCCAGGGCTCTCCTATTCTTAATCTTAATACTCTGAGAAGTAGACATCCGAGTTGGCAGTTTTACCAACACACAGTTTCTATGTCTTAGATGTTATGTCTATCCTACCTTAGTCACTCACTGACATAGAATTTATTTTTCATAATCTCTCATCTCTCAAAATGGCCTATCTGATTACAGTTTAGCATCACATAATATTATAACTGGCATAACCTCAGAGATTACATATGGCAATGCCTAATAACCAACTAACAGAACTCTTGATTTACAAACCCCAAACCTGATCACCATTTTTCTTCAGCTCAGTAAATGCCAACTTCATCTATGTAGGAGTTGGAAATGACTTATCCTTGATTCCTTATTACCTTTACCACCCTATGTCTAATCCATCAGTAAAAGTTATTTATTTGCTATCCTGAATATATTCTTTCCCAAAAGCCACCATCACCTCTTGCCTTGATATGCTAAGAGCCTGTAAGTTATCCCCTTGCTACATATTCTCTCACACTTCCCTGTGTTATTGTCTACATGTTATTTTCTGAGATTTTATTGATTTACTTCCTTTGAGATTTTCTGGCTCTGCTACTTACTACTGGGATGTGAAAGTTCCAGGAGAGTGCAGGGTATAGAGTACACTGTAGCACATATAATTGTGCCTACAACATTGCAGGCTCTCTCAATGAATATTTGTTAAATAAATTAATCTCCTCCTACACAGACTGGAAATATGAGTCACAATGAAGTTAAGTGAATTTCTTAGGCTCACAAAATTAGTTAGTAAATCTACAACTACAAGTTAGGTCTCTTGAATCTCAATCTAAATCATTTGTTGTTGTACCACATTGTGGTTAGTATTGTTACTACCATGTGAAACTGTATTATATTGACTTAAGGAATCCAGTACTCATAGGTCCTGGCTTATACTGTGAGGCTGACTGGGAAGTGAGTGAAACTAATTAGAAGATCAGTAACTAAGTGGGTGGCTAATGTCCAACACAGACCTGTTGTGCCAAATTCTACTCTTCAACAAAGTTATAGCATCCCATCTGGTGCAGGTAATTAGCCTTAAAAACTCCTGCACACTTGAACCTTCTGATGATCATTCAATACCACTTTAGTTGTGATGTCACCTTCTAATATAGAAGCATTTAATTTTCATGCTTGTCTCTGAGAAGTAAGTACAGTTCCACCTTCCAAGGCATATTTTTCCTTCTTTACTTATGTTTTAATTCAAATTTTCTAGCTTCTTCTGAGACCCTGTTTATTCAAACAACTGCAGCTCTTTCTTACACCCCTAGCTTTTTCCTCTTCACTGCCTTCATTTGCATGCTTGACCTTTAGAGTGTGTAGACCTCCGATTGAACAAGGCCACCTCATTGACTAGCTGTTTGACAATGGACAAATTACTTACTTTCTCTGAACCTTGATTTTCTCACCCATAAAATGGAGATAAGGAAGGACAATTGTGCCAATTAAATTTAAAAAAAAAAGAAAAACATATGTAAAGAACTCCCTGACAGAGTATGCACTTAATGGTAGCTATAAATATTATTATAATCAGATTTCCTTTAACTAAGAAACATTAACATAAATGCAAACATCACCCCAAATTTTCTCAGCTCTCCTATCCCTAAATAACCCTCATTTGTTCATCATTTATATTCATGGGCAAAATTCTTTAAAAATATGCTCTATATTTATTGCCTTCCTTTTTCTCATAATACTGTTGTATCTGAACAGACTGGGAAGCGTGTGCTTTCTAGTGTCAAATGTTACACTCTTGATTTCTCTATGCAAACCATGGTTATTATTAGAGTTGTTCTATTTCTAATGTATCTGTGTTCTTTCATCGCACCATGAGTGCCAGTCCTTCAGGAGAATGAGCCAATGAGCCAAAGTTCACGAAACTAGCTATAGCCCCAGAGAACTGGGATTGTCTCCCAAATGTCCCATAGTCATTCATATCATGGGAAGAGCTATGGAGGTGAGGTGAGGCAGTGGGTAAACTTACTGGGAGGGGGGTTAGTAGACAGAGTTCTAGTCAATGTCAACATCATTTAGATTAAAGGGGGGTGTGCAATTATTTGAGGGAGACTGAAATAGAAATTCAGACAGAGCTTAATTACTAATAAAGGAAATATATCTCATGAAGAGATACTTCCCAGGGTGACGTGCCAATTTATAAAGGTAAGCATGCTACTGGAAGGTGAATCTGAAGGAGGGACTTCATAGGAAGTTAGTGGACAATAGTGACCCAGCACCATAGCAAAACAATGGTTAGGAAAAGTGAGAAGTAAGATTTCCCCTCATCGCTGCCAGGAAACCTGGTCATAGATTGGGTAGATCTCTCCATGGAAAGAGACTTCATCCAAGGACCCTGAGCAACACTGGGCAGCTGGCTCAGTGGGGTGGTAGGTAGCAATAACTTATTAGGTTTGCTTAGTTTCTTTTCATTAAGAGAGCAAAGCAACCATACTTCTTGCAAGTGTGTTTTCCAAGTATGTGCTGGGGGGGCTCAAAACCAAAGATATAAAGAGTTTCTAGAAATTCACTTGGGTTCTCAGTGCCACAGGTATCTCTGGATAAAAGGAAGCTACCCCAAAATTGAACTCAAGCAGCATCATAGGCTGTGCTCCAATCTACCGCTCTACCCCCAAATGCTTCATAGTTGCCTTGGTCAAGCACAAACCATCAGCCCCATGATTACGCAAATCATACTTAGTGAATGAAATACCTACCACATCTTTTCTTCTAACAACTAAAATTGTTTTGACATAGAGTTTCAGATGTTTTATTTTAGTTGGAATAATACCAAAAGCCAGTTCTTGAAGATTAAACTGTGTCGATGTTAATCAGACGGAGGTATATCCTGGTCTCACGTGAAGCACCATGGACATTTTGAGGTCTCTGAGGTGCCTTGTTATGTGGTAGTTTCACTTGCAACTAGGATGAGTTTGCTTGAATAGAGAATCTATCTCCTTTTATTGTTTTGTATTATATTTATCATTCTCTTATCTTCACTATGTGCCAAACAGTTTTCCGTGGAATGATTTATTCTAATAATTAAAAGAAGGCAATATTCTTTTGGTGGATGACTGTTTTGTCTGAGTTATAACATATAATTTGCTTTTTTTCTTTGTACCATTGTTCCAGAAGAGATTCATCTTTAATTAGTTGGAGGTGTACTGTGGCATACCTTGGTCTCCAAGTAAAAGATTTTCCTTTTTCAAAATCAGATGAATTCTGAGTTGACAAGGTAAAAAAATCTGTGGTAAGATTAAAAACGCTAAGATTTTCCATTAAGAAGTTGCTTCTAGGTTGCTACAATTTAGCACTTCAGCTACTGAACACCTATTAAAGAAATGCTTGTTTGCATTATGTTAGATGTAAATTAGGTGACTCACTTTCTCCATCTCTTTCTCTATATTTATTTTTAATTCTATTCTAAAGCAGGAACTAGAACCAAATGAAATTAAAGCCTCCTTTTGGTTTGATTGGTCTAATATTCTTCGATGAGCAGAGTATGACTCACAGCCTGTCCCCTTTTTATTAATAATTAAATTGAGACATTGAAAGATTATATAAACTTATAGTAGCAGATTAAATATCAAGACTGTAGTCCACTGAACAGCACTGCTATGTTTAAAACGGGTATTTCCAATATTGTCCTCAGATAATTTTAATATTTGACATTATAGGATGGATATAGAAAAGTACAGTAATTAAAAACAAACATCATATTTTATTCTAATTTTGTTGGAAAGGGGTTTTCACTTTGGATGGAAAAGAAGGTAAGATCCATAATGTG